CCCCCTCCCACCCTCAGACTAGAAAATGCCGCCACAAACAGGAACTGACGTACGAAGAGCGAGCGACGGGCCCGGAGCGCGCGACAGCGCAAGCGCGGGCCCGGGAAGGAGGCGGGCTCACAGCGGGGCGCCTGCGTACACACTGCGGCTGGGGGCGGTGTGGCTAAGATTTGGGCCCTGGCTCCGGCGCCGGGCGGAAAGGGGAGACCGGAATGCGCAGGCGCGGCAGGGCTCCGCGGCCAGCTTTCCCTCGAGGCCGGCCGCGGCTATTACTTCCCGGCAGCCCCTGCTCCTGATTTACATACGCCTTGATCTTCCGCTCGCCCTGGCTCGCGGCGCCCAGACTCTTAAAGGGCCCGGCCGCGAGAATTTCTGCGTGTGAGTCGCGGTTGTGCTCGGGCTCCGAAGCCTCACGGCCCCAGAGTCGGCGTGGCTGTGGGCAGAGGGCGCGACCGCCTCGTGGGCCTGTGTCCCACCTGCGGAGTGGAGGCAGCCACGGCGTCTTCCCGTGAGAGAGACCCTCGGACGTGGGCGACAGGGGCAGCCGGCGTGACGAGCGTCGCCTCAGCGGCTCCGTGGGCGTGGGCGCCCCGTCCTCCCCGCCTCCCGCTGCTGGGGTGTCGCTGGCCGTGGAACCGAGAAATCCCTCCCGCGACCAGAGGGTCCGCCGGCGCAGGGCCGGGAGGACCGCCCCAAGCTGGCGCCGGGGGAGGGCTGGGGTCCCCGGCGAGGTTCCGGGCCGGGCGCCGTGGCCGGACCTTCCGCGTGTGCGCCCCGGGCCAGTGCTTCCCCTCATCCCGCGCCCAGTCCTCCCTGGTTTTGTCTTCGGCCCCCGTCGCACACGTGGGCTAGCGTCTGCCTTGCTACCTAAGACACAGCAAGCAACGCGGGATACCCGATTTCCAGGGGGCAGCCCGGCCGCACGGCGGCCCCGCACGGCTCTGGCCCATGCATTGGCTAGTGCCGCAGACAGCTGCGGGGCGCCTGGCTCCCAGGCCCTCCTGCCCGAGCCTCGGTCTCCCCGGGCACTGGTGGAGGGCGCACCTGAGTTCTCTCCCTTGCAGCCTGGCAGCCGAAGGCCACGCCTGTCAAACTGCTTAAGCCCCGGTGTGTGCAGATGCAGACTCGTGTATCAGCCCCCGTGGACGAGCAGTGTCAGCCAGTGGTGTTCACCTGTGTGACGCTCTCATAGTTAACGCTCCCCCCCCCCCCGCCCTCAGTGCTGAGACGGCTGAACTGATTTTCTGACCCACCGAGAAGCTATGCCCTGCGATCTGAACAAAAAAAAAAAAAAAAAAAACAGGGCTCCAGGGGCCTTGGGAGCCGGGCGGGCCCAAGTTCTAATCACATTTCTTCCGTAAGCTTGGCAGAATAACTTCTCTGGAGCCTGCATTTCTGCATTGCAAAGCAGTGTCAATAGCATTGATGTAGCTAGTGCTACAGGCCCCGGTGCTGTGCACAGTTATTCCGGAGGCCAAGGACAGCAGGACGCTGGGAGGCTTGCCCAGCTCCTAGGGCAGGTTACGGGTAGAAATGGGATGGCGGGCTCTGTGCGGTGCTGTAGCACAGTGGGCGAAGCCGCCACCTGCGACACCAGCATCCCATATAGGCACTGACTGGTTCGAGCCCTGGCTGCTCCACTTCTGATCCAGCTCCTTGCTGACGTGCCAGGGAAAGCAGCAGAGGATGGCCCGAGTGCTTGGGTCCCTGCACCCGTGTAGGAGACCCGGAGGAATCTCCTGGCTTCAGCCTGGCCCAGTCCTGGTTGTTGTGGCCATTTGGAGAGTGAAGCAGTAGATGGAAGACCTCTCTGCCTCTCCTCTCTCTCTGTGTAACTCTGCCTTTCAAATAAATAAATAAATCTCCTCCTCCTCCTTTTTTTTTTAAAGATTTATTTATTTATTTGAAAGGCAGAGTTACACAGAGAGAGGAGAGGCAGAGAGAGAGAGAGAGGTCTTCCATCTGATGGTTCACCCCCCAGATGGCTGCAACGGCCAGAGCTGTGCCAATCTGAAGCCAGGAGCCAGGAGCTGCTTCTGGGTCTCCCACGTGGGAGCAGGGGCCCAGGCACTTGGGCCATCTTCTGCTGCTATCCCAGGCCATAGCAGGGAGCTGGATTGGAAGTAGAGCGGCCAGTCTCAAACCGGCGTCCATATAGGATGCCAGCGCTTCAGGCCAGGGCATTAACCCGCTGCGCCACAGCACGGCCCCATAAATAAATCCTAAAAAATGAAAGAAACAGGGTTTGACCCCAGCAGGCAGGCACTGAGGCCTCTGCTGTTAACCCCGTCGCACTGGGGGATGGAGAGTCTGGATCCCACCCCCGTGCCCGGTGTTTGGTTATCTCAAAGTCTCTCAAGTTCAACATCAAGACTGATGGATAAGTCCCTGAAGCCCCAGTCCCACCCTCCCCTCCATTCCCTGAACTCCCACCCATCACTGCATCCCGGGAAAGGGTGCCGGGCACGTCTCATCTGAGGTCTGAAAAGACTTCTCGATGAAGGGCCCTTGGCTAAGGGGCAGGGAGGACCTCTCCCCAAGCCCCCTCTGTGCCCAGGGGCAGGAAACATGGCCCAGAGCCTGGTTCAGCCCTTCTCAGAGGTCAGACGAGCCCCAAAGCCCTCTTAGCAGCCCACTCATGGCTGTGAGGTCTGGGGGTCTGGCCCTGGGGTGGGAGAGGTGGCCATGGGGCGAGGACCCCTCCCTTCCATACAGGCAGGCGCTCATCCCCCACCCCGCCCCCAGCACATGCTTCAGGGGAGAAGAAAGCCCACAGCATTGGTCCCAGAGCTCTAAAACCATTAAAAAACGGATTGGTGGACGTTGGGTGCGATGGTTAGGGCACCTGCAGCCCATACTGCAGTGCCTGTCTTGAGTCCCGGCTCGTCCACCTCTGGTCCAGCTCCCAGCTAAGGCACCAGCGACGGCTCAAGTACGTGCGTCCCTGCCACCCACATGGGACGGCCAGATGAACTCAGTCCCTGGCTTTAGCCTGGCCTACCCTGGACTGTTACGGATATCTGGGGAGTGAACCAAGGAACTGAAGACCCACTCTCTCTCCCGCTCTCTTTCAAATAAAGTGAAACTAAAGAAATAGAATTTTTTTTATTTAAAAGAATTTCCCATGCTCTCGAGAGATGCTGAAATGCTGTCTCTTGGTTCTCTGGGCTCCGCAGCCGCTCCGGGGCTGGGAACATCCTTTGGAGCAGTGTGACGTGTTGGCACAGGCACCGAGCAGGCTGGGGAATCCGTAAATGTTGCTTCTGGTTTCCTCTTTATACAAGCTGTGTCTCACTCGCAAAGGGGAGGCAGCCCCGGCCTGCAGCGGCAAGTCCCGAGGCACGGCAGTGGCTACGGTGCCATGGGCAGACGCCGTGCCGTGCCACTCGCTCTGCTCTCCGGAAGCCATAGACAGCTTCCCGGCGGGTACGCAATGGGAGCCAGCGGCCTTTGCGTGGCCCGCTGGGCCCTGGGTGAGCTGCCTCTGCCTGCCCTGATTTCATCCCCAGCTGCCCCTGTTCCAGACACACTCACCCCTGTCTCTGCAACAAGACCAGTCTGCTGTCACCCCAGGGCCTTTGCACCGTGGCTCCCTCTGCCCAGGCCCCGACTTTCGCCCGAGCAGCCCCTTCTTGTCTGCACAGAGCTCCTCCCCGTAGAGAGCTTCCCCAGCCACCCCAGGCCCTGGGTGCTTCCCTACCTGTGGTTAACTCTAGAAGGTGGAATTAACACCTGGCCGAGCCAGGACCTGGGGGGCAGCCCCCGGCCTGGCAGGTAAGAGCCGCCCCCCACTGCAGCTCCTGATTGCAGCTGCCTGCTGCAGCGCGCACTGGGCGGCAGCAGCGATGGCGCCCGCACTGAACTTCCTGTCACTCGCGCGGGACACCTGGATTGAGTTCCTGGCCCTGGCCCAGTCTCAGCCACTACAGGCATTTAGGGAGTGAACCAGCACAGGGGAGCTCTGTTTGTCTCTCTGCTTCTCAATGGTGTGTGTGTGTCTGTGTGTGTCTCTGTGTGTGTCTGTATGAGTGTGTGTGTGTCTGTCTATGTGTGTGTGAGTGACATCTCTTGCCGGAGCTCTCACAGCCAGAAGTGCGGCTCCGGATCTGTTCCCAAAGCCGGCGCAGGCCATGCTCATCACGCTTTTACCCATGGACTCAGCTGTGGGCCCAGACTGGACATACAGCAGAGTCCTGTTTTATACTAAGTTTGGGAGACTGAACAACTGGAAACAGTCTCTTGTGTTACTAGGAAAAAACGAAATAATACTTAGGCTACACAATGTTCAGTTCAAAAAGAAAATCATGTCACAGCC